CAATGGCTTAGATTAATGAATTACTCTGACTGGAAGGTAGGTAATTTAGATAATATAGGACTCTTTATTCTGTCTGGAACGAATTATAAAGAATATAAGTGCTTGGTCGAACAACTAATCATACACTGTAGGAATATTTGAATCAAAATTTGATCATAAAGGTAGGAAGGTGATTTACCCTTCTGCCTCTTCACTCTGTCAAGTGACTATTCTCACTCTCTCAAGTGACAATCTGTTCAACTCATTCTCTTTTCTTTATGCACTTTAATCAGATTTTGAGCAGTTGACTGTCGTATCTTTGGAACGACTCTTCTTACCACTAGCTAATAGTTTTAAATAAGTTTATAAATATTCTTTTGGGGAAGTGATTCAACGACATCAACCTCCACCAAAAGTGGTGTCGATTGCCGGGATGAAGTTAAAAATCCTTGAAGTCTGATTATTGTATTCTGTTTTTATTCTTTTTAATTTTTCTGTTTTAATCAATTTCACTCACTCAATCAATCAAAATATTTTATTGTTATTTTCGTGATTTGATTGGTTTATGACTAGAAGCAATCCTTCTAGAAAGCTAAGTTTTGACCCCGAAATCAAAGACACGGTGAGGAGTCAAAATCCTTGCGAAACAGAGAAGCTGCTGCTCGTGTTTTTGAAAACCAGAAGCAGATGGCAGAGGTAGCAGCAGCTGATCAACCTCAAGAAAGAGAGCTATAACCAGCTCAACCCAGGCTACTAAGAGATTATTTTATACCAAAGAGGAGGAAGTTTAAACTCCACTAGTGTAAGATGATGTTGCAGCAGAGAACTTTGAGCTTAAAACTCAAATAATTCAGTGGATGCAAGCTGCTTGTCCTTTCCATGGACTGCCTAGTGAAAATCCCAATGAGCACATTCCAGATCTTCATAACCGTGCAAGCACATTTAATTAAGTGGTCAAGTTAATTAAAAGGTTAATTAAATCACTTATCTAGGCACAACACCTTATCAAGGAAACTGAATCAAAACCTTCACATAAAGATAGTAGGGATTGAACCCTTAACTGAGTTAGCTACTCCTGTTTATTGAGTTAAACATGAGAGTAACAAAGTATAAAAGATAAGACATGAATCTAGATCAAAAGGTTAGAGGAAAGAAAGAGAAGATGGTAGCAGGAATAGTTTCTGTCTGTTCACTATGGCGTGTGGCATTCGCCACTTGGCAAAGTGACTGTCTGCCTCCTTCTCCCTGCTATTACCCTGTTTCTAACTTACTAACTAACTACCTAACTACTGTCTTTGTAACTCAATCTAACTACCAAATTTGTCTCCCTCTCTAACTGCTATTGGCTGACTATTTATAGAGATTTGGAGGAGCTTGGATTGGTTGATTTCTGGCCTTCTTCTCTGCAGCAGAAAGGTGAGGCAGCAACTTGCAGCAGTAGAGATTTGTTTATTCAGCAAATTGCCTAGTTGGCAAGTTGTAGTCTTCTCTTTGGCTGCTCCTTCTCTTCAGCCGCAATCAGCCACCTTCTTATCATCATTGCCTTCTTCTTTTAGTCTTCTTCTTAGGCGCAGTTTCTCCAATTTCAGTCACAAATCTCTGTTTCTTCATTCTTAAATCCTCACATCTCAACTAGGCGCAGTAGAGATGTAGTTTGAATATGTTTGCTAGAGGATCAGCAAACCTCTGAGTTTGGGTCTGTTGCTTGAGGACAAGCAACACTTCAAGTTTGGGGGTATATGATAACATAAAAATATATACTATATTTGCAGACATTTCTTATTCATTTTCACTTATAATTTAGATTCAATTAGTTTGGATTAATTTACTTTTGAGGTGATTTTGCAGTTCAGGTATCTCGGAGGGTCAATGTAGAAAATTAGCATAAAAGAGGGTTAAATTGCACAAAAAGGCATTACAATGGACTGGAATGGAAGCTATTGGAAATTGGGCTATTGGAAGGTCAATCAGAGTTAGAGCAAGTGGAGAAATCCGTGCTGAGGAAGGAAGAATGCCCATCCTTTTCCGTAGAAGTAATGCAAGCTTTAATACCATTTCCTCTACATTGGGCCTCAAGCTTGAAAGAAATAATAATTTTGGCCCAACACAATCAAACTAATTCTGCAACCTTCATTTATTGGCACACGTACAAGCACAATATTTCTTCTCCTTTTGAGCTGAACTTCCTTGCAATTGCATTCAAAAATCCCATAGAAAAAATCAATAACATTTGCATTTTCATTTTTTAAAGCAACGGTCCTACACACTGGAATAAAACCAAATGAATGGAGTATATAAGCTCAAGATATATTTCAAAATCTCACATATAATAATTTAGTGTATTATGCGCATATCAGTCGAATTTAACCAATGTTGTCTATTTTTTAAGGAAAAAGAAACTATTTTTTAAACTGAATTTCGAACACCAATGTCGAAACATACATTTTAACATTAAAGTCAATAGTATAATATGTAGATACTAGGGATTTCAAAGCCCGGGCTATTGCCCTTTCTCATTATGAATTAATTTTGATAAAATATTTAAAATTAATGTGTCGTTATACTTTTACCATTTCTGTTCTTAACATGATCAAAAGTAATGAAGATTGAAGTTAAAGAAAATATAAAAACATATAAAGTGGAAAAAATTAAGAGATGAGGGAACTTTTTTTTTATTCCTTTTCCTCTGGGCTATATTCAAAGAAATAAGTAACATTTTTACAGGACAATAATTTTTACTAATGCCTTCTATTAAAAAATAAAGATACAAATCGGAACAAGTAATTGAGAAAGAACTTACATTCTTGTCATATAATTGAAATATAAATCCATAAAGATTTACATATTATACTTAGAAATATGATTCAACCATAATGAAAGAGTAAATATTAAAAAAAAAAATCAAGAAAAGCTTACGTAACACAATTTACTGTATCTATATTATTTTTAGTGTGACAATACTACGTCAAGGTTAATATAATTAAAGGGAATAAGAAATACTAATTGCTCTAGTTTTTTACGCAACCTTGATATAATTATTAATCCAACAAGCATAAAGAAGTTGGGTTCCTATTTAGCAATTTTGAGGTTCAGAATGAAAAAAAAAATAAAAATAAAAAATAAATACAACCAAAAAAAAAAAAGAATAATTCAGAATGAGTGTGAAAAAAAAACGATAAAAAAGAAAAGAAGAATTCAGAATGACTTGGCACCATACTGCCACTTGTTGATTATATGTTGAAAAATACTCACTTGAATGACATAAATACCCCTGGCAGCAAATGTTGATTTTGACGACAAACCAACCAACGGAATACTGTAGTTTGGGCCTTTCCACTTTATATATAAGAATGGATTTATACATATGTTGGTACATGTTTATATAATTAAAAAGAAACGGGCAAAAGTTTTTACAGTTTGGTGTTAATAAGTTTAAAGGATGACTTAACGGTTTGTTCATAATGTAATACTGCTAAGTTCATTAATAATCCACAGTTTGTGATCCTTCATTCAGGTTTATACTTGAAAAATATATTTTTCTAATTGATTAATTTATGTATTTATTCCTTTAATAAGTAACAGTCAAGTTTTTTGTTTTTTTGAAGGATGTCTAATTTAAAAATTCCATAATATTGGAATTTTATCGTCAAATTAAACGGAAAGAGTAGTGAAGTGAAGACCTCAATCCCAGTGAAGATGAGGAACCAATTCAAAGTTTAAACTGATGATTAGAAAGGACAAAATCAAGGGCATGAAAGAGAATATTTAAAAAGAAATTGATTAGATAGTGATAATATAATAAAAAGAATATAAAACACAAACAATACACGTTAAAAGCACGTATCTAACACTGAGGCTGTGGGTTCACAATGCACCGTGGACCATGGTCCATAGTGTAATTTGCCTCTAGTTTCATGAAAAATGTTACGGCAAATAAAGATATTGTCTAATCATTCATCTTCTATTTTAGGTAGTGAAGGCACCAATGTTCACTAAAGATTTACTGAACACAGACTCCAGAGTCCAGAGACTTAAGGTTATGGAACTTTCCACATAAATAATACTCCCTCTGTCCCATAATTATTGTCCAGTTTGAGTTTCATTTCTAGTTTAAATTGTATTAAAAATGAAAAATCAAACTGGACAATAATTTTGGGACAGAGGGAGTACCTCTATTCATTTTTATTAAATTTTTTTACCATATTTCTTTATATAAAAAATTTGGTGTTTGTTTGGACATCAACTCATTTTACATTTTTAATCATTTTACCTCTTAAACATAAAACTAAATGGAAAATAAAACATCATCCAAACAACTTTCTGATTTACATTTTAAATTCCAACTTGAAACACTTTTTGTTAGTGTAATGACCATTTTAGAACTACAAATAGTTCAGTGACAAATTTGGTAGGATTCCGTTATTGAGTGATTGTTTTTGGAAAAGTTCTTTTTTGCACTGACTATAATTGACAGTATTTAATTGTTTAGTGATGACTTGTACATGATATTTCAAAATGTAGTTCAAAACACTTTTTTTCAAAACCAACATCTAAACAATTTTTTGCTCAAAATACCATCCAAACAACATTTTTATTTCACATTTAGTTTTCAATTTAAAACACTTTCCACTTTTAAGTGGCAAAATGAAATGTAAGTTGACGTCCAAACAAGCACATTTTTAAGAGAGTATCAAATAATAGTTATTAACAAAAAATTATTGACTAACGAAATCAACTAACGCAATGGCCAATTTCAAGCATCGTTCATAAGTGACCTCTCCATGAATAAAAAATTAGCAGTGACCAAATGTAAATTTTCCGATAGTTTAGTAAAAAAATTTTAAAAAAAGAAGAACAATAATAAAAAAAAAAAGTTGCTGCTAACCTCTCAGTCCGCAAATACTAGAGACCCTCATAACATTTAAGTATATACGAAATTCGCTAACCCATCCCAGCAGACACAGAGTTTGACTCATCATTTTACCATTTAGTTCTTCAATTCCCAATAAAAGTGTGAAAATCTAAAGAGAAGAGCGCAACATGTGATTCATTTCCACCATCTTAGCTCTCATCTCAATCCAAGAAATGATCATCTCAAAAACTAGTTCAACACTTTCATTTGGTTCCCCCATTAATCCATGCCACATCCCTGGAAAAATCTTCAAAGACTTATCCTTACTGGCAGCTGATTCAAGTACAAATTTTGACGATTGAGGATCACAGATCCTATCATCTCCACCATGCAAAACCAGCAAAGGCACCACTAACTCGTGGCATCTTTTTTGAATGCAAGCAACTGATTTCATGATCGCTTGCGAGGTTATTGCCGGAAGTGGAATCATCGCTTTTGTTGCTGGATTCGGGGTCTTCGCCGCCAACTTCTTCTTCCATCCCACTTTGATAATTTCCGTTGCTAGTGATTTTGTGCTACTTATCTTCCACGTTGGTGCAATGCAAGAGGCCACAGGAAGTAGTACTTTCTCCATCGGCCAGATTGGCAACATATTTCGCAAAACACCACACATCGGACCACATAAAATGAGTCCATTCCATACATTTTTTTGCCTTGAGCAAATGAAGATAGAGATTGAACCTCCCATTGATTCACCATAAAGAAATGCAGGCAGTTTCGGGTGCTCTTTTCGAACCGAATCAAAGAATAGGATTGAATCTGAGACTAGGGATTGGAAATCAGAGACTATCCCGGGTTTACCTTCCGAGTAACCATGGCCAGGAAGATCAAGAGCACAAACAAAGTAGCCTGATTTTGCTATGGCTGCCGCGTTTAGCTCAAACAGCCAGCTGCTTTCGAAGCAGTAACCGTGGATCATTGCCACAATCCCCTTGAGTTTTGAAGTTGAATCTGAAGGCTGCCATGACTGAGTGAAAATCTTCATGTAATCATCGTTGAACATGAAGCTTTGTTTGTGAAGTATTTGATGCTTTTTATGGAATTCTTCTCTTGTGAGATCTCCATAAGGGCTGTTTTTGTTTGCTTCATGAATTGGATGGGAATAAGCCATTTCTATGTTGTGTAAAAGTGTTTATTGAGCGCCATGTGTTTTTTTGCTGTGTATTTATAGTTGGCCAACAACTCGATAGAGTTGACCATAGTTCCATTAGAATTTGATCCATGTAATAATTTATGCGCCTGAAATGTGTATATCAAAAAATATGTAGGGTTAAATTGTGAAATTGTACATAGACCTCCCCTTTAAATATTATGAAACTATGGATCATCCGGAACGATGAAAAGCTGTTAGCGGTATATAGCTTTCTTGGGCGGTAAATCAAGGAATCTTTGTACATTAAAACGACATATTAAACTTCTACACAAACACATGATAGTATGTGAAATGCTCAACTTTGCATCTTGACGTGAGGATCTCTATTCAGTCTTAGACTATAATTTTACTATTGTTAACATATAATTATTCAAACTTTTCACTTGGGTTTCCAGTGGATAAAAGTATAAATAAATTTATTCGTAGAAAAATAAAATTATTTCCCAATCCTTCGATAATAAGAAAGATGGAACAAAAAGCAAGAGACTAAAACACAGTATTTAGCTACGCTAACGCTCCATCTCAACAATATTTAGCTACTCCTAGAAAAAGGGTATTTAGCTAAGTGATTAACATGGTTAAAAGTAAAATGTAATTAACATTTATCTTGTTTTCAGGGTAAATGGTGCTTTTAAAATAATATAAAATTTAAATTTTTAATAACAATTTATATTAATAAATAATATTTTAATATAAACAATAGAATGTGAATTTTATAATATTTTAATGATTCAAATTTTATGGAAAATTCAAATTTAATTGAAAAGACAAAATTACCCTTACTGACGGTATGCCAACGACCTGGTCAACATCGAGTTGGACGGAAAAGTTGTCAAAACAGTGAAATGGGACTAAAAAAATTTCAAAACATAATGTTTGAGACTATTATATTGAAATGTTAATGTTAGAGACGTAAATTCAAGTAGACCCAAATGTAAAGGATTATGTGGACATTTTAGTTAAAGCAAGATTATTGCTTCGGGTTGTTGGTATTAGGGACTGTTGACTATATGTACATTTTTCTGCATACCCAGCGACTCATATGATTACTTGAATTAGAAGATCCATCCATCAAATCAAGAAATGAAAGCGATCATTGTTTGATTTAGCGCGTTTGCCATTGCGAGTTAATGTTAGTTTAAATATATACTTCAATTAAAGGGTTTGGATAATTGGATCTACTGCACCACTTCCTAATTAAACCACTATATCGTACTTATACGAGTCTATTTATATATTATCTATTTTTAAAAAAAATTTAATCAACACCAATCAAAATCATGATGAGTGAGTGTTGAAGTGTGTGCAAGTATCATGTAGGATATCTGTTTATACTAACTAGTATTATTCCCGCACGTTGTGCGGTAACATAATATTATATATATTAGTTTAATAATAAACAAATGTAACATTTCGGTTCGGCTAATAATTGGATAGTCACTGGTTTATTTCACTTTGTATCTCGGTTTGACTATGTGATTTTTTTCATCATGTGTATATGTATATAAGTATAAATTTTTGGTTTTTTAAATATATATATGATAATAAGAAATTTGATAATAATAAATTTGGCAACTAATTAAATATTATGTTATATATTCAGATTATTTTATTACTATAATATAATTATGGAGTCACAACATAATTTTGTAATGGGAGAGCTATGGAAGTGGAAATATCCTTTGCTGAAATTAAATGCCTCTTTGATTTTTCGGTGATTGAGGGAGGAGGGAGAAAAGAAAAAAGAAACTCTCTTTAAATTATGTATGAGGATAGTTTAGGTAATTGATGATAATTTACTCAACATAAGAAAAATACTATCAATTTATTATTACCCAATACAAAACCTTAGCCCACTAATTCCCTCATCTCCTCACAGCCGCCGTCATTTTTCACTCTTCTTCTTCATTTCCCCAGCCACCCTCATGACCCCATCTTCTAAGATTTTCTGTTGCTGCTGCTACCTTTATTCTACAGTTGTTGTCTTTCGTCGCCGGATGTCCACACTGTCACTGTTACCGGTTCTTTTCTCGTTGGCTTTTCCGGTCCATAATTGGTGTACTTCCGATCGCCGATTTCTTGCTGTCTTTTCCGACTGCTTTGTTGCGTCTGCTTCATCGTTTTTTTTTTACATCGCCGGAATCAGATTTTTCCACTTTGTTAGAATTGGTGCTGCTCGCTGGTTTGTTCTTCTCCTTGTTGCTGACCAGCTGCAAAAAATTGAGGAAGGAACATCGCCAATCATTATCGCTGTCGATGTTCTTCTTTGCGAAATTCGAAATTCATTATCCCGGTTAATTTGATTCGATTGTTGGCGTCAATCTTTTGAAGAAAGTTATTGTTTTTGAAAATAACCATTTTACATTCTTTAAAATAACCATGTTACTTGTATAAAATAATCAGTAAAAAAATTCACAAATTAGAAGATGACACGTGTCTTAAAAAAATTCTCAACGAATAAAAAAATAACATGTGTACTTGAAAATTATTGATGGTTTAATTAACTGACATGTGTCTTTTAAAAAAAATTCTCTTAATATATAGTAAGGTGTCTTTTGAAAAAAATTCTCTTAATATATAGTAAGATTTCATAATACAGAGAATATATTGTAAATATTTCCTTTCCACTCTGGACTACAATTTTATAATAACTACTAGTACTCATGTTATAAAAAAAAATAGTTTACTCCTTTCGTTTTAAAATGATTGTCCAGTTTGCATTTTCAATTTTAGTACAATTTGAACTAAAAAAGAAAATCTAAGCTGGATAATAATTATGGGACCGAGGGAGTACACTGTTTAACTGAATCAGTGAGCCATACGGAGTATTATTATAATTCTTTTCATTCTCCATGTACGAAGAAAGGGAAATACATGCGTTTTCTGAAGTTGGATGATGTATAATAGATGTACATGGAGAAGTTTTAAAAAGATAAAGGGAGATATGCATCATTTGATTAATAGATTTTTTACGTATGGAGATCCTGATCTGATCATATCACATGTTATTTGACAGCCCAACTTCTGTCTTGATATCTCTCTGGTTGAGACGTACAAGAATCGCGAAAAAAGTGCCGCAACTCATTAAATATGCGAACATTACAGCCTTAATAGATGTACATGGAGAAGTTTTAAAAAGATAATGGAAATATGCAACATTTAATTAATAGATTTTATACGTATGGAGATCGTGATCATCAGATCATATCACATGTTATTTGACAGCCCAACTTCTATCTTGATATTTCTCCTGGTTGAGACGTACAAGAATCTCGAAAAAGTGCCACCACTCATTAAATAAGCGCACATTTGCCTTAACATAATTATCATTCAACCTTAGGTGATAGATGATTTCTTTCGAAGAAAAACCAATTCTACTGATTATTTTTTGATACAAAATTCAGTATATATGGACCGGTTTAAAAAAGAACGAGATCAAACCAATAACAAGAAGTTGGGCGCCATCTTTCAATTAGCTTCGAGTGAAATACAAAAAATTGAATGAAACCACTTGTGGCATGCTTCATAGAATCATAGATAAAACCTTATTAACCAGTAATTAAACGTCACTCTCCAAGGAATAATTGAAGTACCTCATATATTTTTCGTCCTAGAAAAATATCTATTATAAAAGTAAAGATATGAAACTGTAGAAGAAGAATAAGTAGGGAGATAATAAGTTAAAAGAGAAAAAGAGAATTCATGTCTATTTTATTCTATGGAGACTGATATTCTTTTATAGACAAAAGATACAAGGATAAGATCAAACAATGATAATATCTAACTATAATAATATCTAACTAAATAGTATCTCCGAACATTTGATTCCTTGTATAACTCTTTTGACACTTGCCATTGGATGTCAATTTCTTAGGATAATGCCTCGTTAAAATTTTTACTAGGAAAAACCTATTGGGATAAATATCTAATAAATGAAAAAGAGTACATTCTCAAATATTATGCTGCCTCATTAAAACCCTTGCCAGGAAACCTCATTAGAACAAAACCTTGATCAAGAGAAGAAGAGTACAGCGTGGGGTTACTCCCCTTATTGAATACATCTCTTGTGATATTCTCACTAAATGCTAAAATGTTGACCAGTTTCACCAGTGTCGAAATCAATAATAAGTGAATTTTCTAAATAATCACTTCGGCTTCTTATGCAGACGTTCATCTTCACATACCATGTATAATCTTGAGTGCTTTCGGAAATCAGAGATCCATAACCATCATATACCGAATGTATCAATGTATGTAATATTTTAATGTCTTGAGTAATTGATAAAATAAACTGATATTTTATATAAATTACACTATGGTACTTCAGGTCGAAATCGATTTACATCATTATTCAAAAGTCAAAAAGGATCTATACGCACATCACGATTATAATCAAGTGAGTCTAAGAAGAGTTAAATATAAACATACAACGGTCAAACTAATACCGCGATTCTATTCAAAGTCAGCTTCTATTTTTCTTGCTCCAGGCAAATACTAACCTTTTGAATTGAGCAAACTTTTGAATTTCTTTAATTTTGAAGTCTCAATAACTATGATGAACTCTTCTGGAGTTATATTAATTTTCTATAATATTCAAATTCCATAAATGAGTTTCTATAATATTCAGCCTTTTCAAACTCTTCAAGAGTTTAGTGTTAACTGAGTTCTAAGCACACATATATCATTACCATACATATATGATCATTAAAACGAATGAAAAATCACAAACAAACATAACATATTATGACAAAAACAAATATAGAGACGAGTGCATAGATCAAAACATTCAAAGATATGCACCTAAATATTTGTCTAAACACATGAAGACACTAGTACTTGTGCAAGTCTTTCGAATTACTTTTTCGAGAATCGGAACCATGTCCCTTATTGAATCCTTCAAGGATTTCATATAGACGTCATTATCAAATATTAAGTTGGTGATCACTACATTTAATAGA